ATATATATATTTCAAGTTTTTTAAATTTGTAAATAAAGGGAGAAAGAGAATTCTTTCCTTTTTTGCTCAAAAGAAAACCAAAGCTGCTTCACTCCACCTGACTCGGTTTCCCAACATGTTTACAAATCCTCAGGTGACCAGTTAGCAACGAGTCACTTCTTTTAGACAAAGGCCCAGCAGGTGCCAGGCTCTCTGATAGAGTCAGAGGACAAACTGGGGGCACAGCGTGTGTCCCTCAGGAGCCTGTGTTCCCGCTGAGGCGGGACCAGTAGCACAGTGACGTCGTGTGTTGTGTAGAGAGTGTCACGAAGCAGAGGAGACACTTGGACGAAGGCCGACTGTTGGCTACCACTGTGTACATGAAAAGGTCTTCGTGTTAGAATCGGCTTATAAATGCAATTATATCTCTGTGACACAGAGACACAGTATGTGATGTTACTAACCGTTTCACTTTAATGAATTCATATTTAGGGAGACATTGGAGACCCCGGAGGTCCAGGATGGACTGGACCCAAGGGAGTTCGAGGCAAAACGGTAAGCTTCTTAGATCCCAATTGCTGACGACCCAGCCACTTCGGGAAGTCCTTCCTCATGCATTTATGGTCATTCAAGTTGTCTTTCCCCTAAAACTTGGGAAATACATGTAATTTTTGTTAAGATAAACTTAGGGGAAACAGGTGTACATTACTCGTGCTGCAGTGCCCCAAGAAGGCGATGAAGTGGTCACTCCACGACCACCAGTTCCGGCTGAAAAGGAGCCACTCTTCTTTTTCAATTTTTTCTTTTAATTGCCAGAGGGCCCATGAGCCGTCCAGAGAGAGAAGGAGGGAGAGAGCACACCCCAGTGGAGTGTGGTCACGCCGCAATCCCCGCTCCGTTTCCCCATCCTGTCAGGATTTGGGGCATGCACATACCTGGCCTGCTTTTCAAGCCAACAGAGCCAGGATTTGAACTGTGGTCAGCCATGTGGGATCAGGCTTTCTTAACCATTAGGCTATGGGGCCAACCCCAAGAAGTTTCCTTCCTAACACTGGAAATGAAAACGTTTGTAAAGAAAGCCTTGAGTTGAAAACAGGTGTTGACTGTCACAGGACCTTGGCGGGTTCAGTGCAAGCCGGTGCCCAGGCATCCTGCCTCCTCTATTACGGCTTGTTAAACTCGGGCTTTGTGCGGTCTGTGTTGACGATGTCACGGCTGCGTCGTGCTGAGAAGGAGGGCTCCGATGCCGCCTCGTGCTCGGACCACTCAGGGTACACACACGTGCCCAGCACAGCTGAGTCACCCGTTGTCTTGGGTCCCAGTGGGTTCAGGACGGGTTTCTTGGCCTGGCTGTGCAAGCATGTGTGGGACACTACTGCCCGGAGGGCCGAGGCCCCATGGGAAGCCTGGTTCAATTCCTGGCCCACCCTGAAAAACCAGGTGTGAGGGTTCATGCCTGGAGTGCCAGCTACTCCAGGGCCGAAGCCGGAGAATTGAGACATGTGGCACCCTGTCTAAAGCACACCACACACACACACGTGCGCATGCACACACACACACACACACACACACACACGAGAACGCACCCGGTTTCTGGACTTGCCTGTGATGTATCTTAGACTGAATGAACGAGATGACTATTCCATGTTTTTAAAGAAAGGTGATCTTAAGATGGTCGTCTCTCAATAGTCCTCATCTCTCAGGATAGCACTGGCCAGGCAGAGTGGTCTCAGTACCGTACTAATTAGCAAGAAGTAAAAGATCTGAAAAAACTTATACGCGAGGTGGTTTTCTAGTTCTATTGCTCTGAGCTAGTTGTTTTGTTTTGTTTTGTTGACAAATGATGACGAGAGCTTCAGTATTACTTGCCCACGTTTTAGGGGGACAAAGGAAGGAACCTCCTCTTCATTGCCTCTCCTCCCTGGATGGCTTTGTAGCTGTGACCTCCTCCTCGTACCTGATTTCTGATGGCTATCCTTTAGCATTACGCCCTCGAGACTTGTTTAAATGGAGAACCCTGATGCAATTAGAAAAATAATGGGAAAAGACTTTCACATTAATCTGGATGTCATCTGCATTGAAATCCCCCCACCCCGGTCATCCCTCTCGGCTTGACCTTGGCCAGCAGAAGCTTGCTAGAAACTTTAGCTGTTTCTGTTTCCTTCTTCCAATGGCACATTAATCATAAAAGCAGTGTTAAAGCCTAAGAAAACAGTAAACTAGTGGGAGACGCTCAAACGTGGACATCTGCGCTTTGTCCTTCCTGCTGGACCGTGTCAGTGTGGAGCTCACGTCACCACCCGGCGTTTCCCCCACGACACGACTGTTTGAATTCGGAGTTGAAGTTTAGACATTGGAAAGTTCCAGGTTTTCCCCTGGAAGAACTAAAGTTTCAAATATTGGAAAATTTTGGTAAAATTGACCTTTAATTTGGAATGCTTCTTCAGTTCTCTTGGAATGACGATATTCCTAGTTTAAGTTCTCTAAATCTTCACCTTGATTTTTTTTCCCTTTTGTTTGCTTCTTTGTTTAGGTTTTTGTCATAGGGCACATGTGCTTGCCCGAGAGTCAGTGAGAGAGAGCATGAGAAGTCACCTCCCAGGGGACGGCCCCGCTGCAATCCCTTCTCCTGGGACTTTGGGTACACACGTGCCCAGCATGAGTATCAAGCCCCAGGTCCAGGACTTGAACCCTGGTTAGTCATATGGGAATGCAGTGCCTTAACTACCATGCTGCCTGCTGGCCACACCCCCCAAATTTTTTTTTAATTTCACCGAGATTTCTCCCTGGCTTTATTTTATGTCTGCTTGTTTGTTTTTATGTGCTTCTATCTTTTGTTACCAGCATTACTACAAATGTGCGTCCTTTAGTTCAGAAAAGTTTTCATTAATTATCTAGAAGGGGCCAGCCTAGAGCACAGCGGGTAAGCCCTGTGCATGGGAAGCCAGATCTCACAAGGCGGACGATGGTTCGAGTCCCAGCAGCTTGAAGAAGACCCTGGGTGCCTGTGCACCAGGCCCAAAGTCCCGACAGGAGGAGAGAGAGCGGGCAAGCCGGGGACTCCACTTCCTGACAGTTAAAAAGTGTGACTTAGTCAGATGGTTTTTTCTCCTGTGTTTTCTCTACTCCCTACTTTTTTATAATCCTATTACTTGGTACGTTAATGTCATCCTTTAATTTTATTTTCCTTTCTCTCCTATTTTCCAACTCAGTCTTTTTAATCAACTCTTCCTCTTTTATAGTGTCCTTTCCTCCATGGCTGGGACATCCTCTCTTACCTCTCGACAGACATAAATGCTGTGTGGCCGACCGTAGTTTGTTTTCTGCAGTTTGTTTTGTTTGTTTGTTCTGTTTTGGACTCTATTCCAAATATGTCTCAGGAATTAGCTATATCTTCAAATTTATGAATTGAGAACGGAAAGACTGACTGTACGGCCAGCAGGTGGCACGGTGGCTAAGGCACTGGACTTCCACATGGCCTGCCACGGTTCAACCCGGCAGCCTGGAAACGGCACTGAGCATGTGCGTACAGGCCCACATTCCGAGAGGAGCGTGGAGGAGAAGGGGTTGAGGGGTGGTCATCCCCCCCGGAGGAGGATTTCTCACTCTCCTTCTCTGTCTTTGTCTCTCGTTGGTGCTCACCAAAGAGTGAGTGCCCTATGACAAAAAAAAAAAAAAAAAAAAAAAAACACGCCTCGTGACTCGGGGGGGG